ACTTTGATCTTGTAAAATTGTCTATTCTCGTAAAATTATGACATTAATCTCGTAATATTACAACTTTATTCTCGTAAAATTATGACATTAATCTCGTAATATTACAACTTTATTCTCGTAAAATTACAACTTTATTCTCGTAAATTACAACTTTAATCTCGTAAAATTATTACTTTATTCTTGTAAAATTACGACGTTATTCTCGTAAAATTACGACTTTAATCTTATGTTTCAACTTTATTCTCGTAAAATTACGTTATCTCGTAAAATTACGACTTGAATCTCGTAATATTACGACTTTATTCTCATAAGATTATGACTTTAATCTCGTAGTAATACTCATAATAATAAAAAAAATATCTCGTTGTGTTGCCCTAATACTCCGTCGTAATATTGCATCACAGATTTCCTCCAAGATTTAGTATTTATTTTGTCGTGTGCTGAACTCCAGGCACAGGTGGATCAGTACAAGAAGATGGAGAAGACTCTAAACGAGGTACGACCTGAGCAAAACCGTGGTGACCAGCAGCTACCGATAGTGACCGTACCGCTTGTGTCCCACGCCCACGAATCCCAGCAGACTGCCCTCTCTGAACAGACTCACAAAGAGAAGYCTGTTGAGGAAGATGATCGAGCTCCCTGGGACACCAGGTCGAAGGTAAGTGTCAAGTCTTCATGCACATAACCATATAAGGATATGCTCTAGATCTAAAACCTCRGGGGTATCCACATTTCTCCTGTCATGCTTTCTTGTCAGTTGGACCATCAGGAGGAGGAGGCCCACATCCAGTCTGACGTCAAGTCTCACCCCATCCTGTCCCAGCCCGCCTTCTCTGAGAGAGAGGAGGATGGCGAGGGGGAGGCAGAAAGGAAGAGGGAGCTAGCAGAGGAGGAGATGGCTCAAGCAGGGCAGCCTCAGAGGCTGGAGGAGGACCTGGACCAGCCTCCGGATGAGCAGCTGGAGGAGGAGGAGCAGCGGCTCGACGAGAACGCCTTGGACCTGCAGAGACGTCAACCACAGCTAGTAAGGACTGGTTTACACAACCCCATCACTCCTACGGGAGGTTTTCGAGAGACGAACGCTTAAAGGTTGTGCACGTACACATTTCTTCTTGGTGTAACCTGTAAGGAAACGCACGAGGAGGCGCACCGGGAGGCCCAGCTGCAGCACCAGGAACCAGCCCAGGTGCGCCACGTGAAGTCGGCCTACGAGCAGCAGCAGGAGCAGCAGCACCTGGCGGCTCGGAGGGCCGAGGAGCGCCGGCAGATCCAGGTGCGACAGGAAGCTCTGCAGGCCCAGAGAGACAAGGTCCAGAGGGAGAGGGAGCAGAGGCTGAAGGAGGAGCAACAGAGGGAGGAGCAGCAACACAAGGAGGCTGACAGAAGAGAGCAGCTGCTGAGGGAGGAGCACCAGAGGTCAGACTTCAGAATTCAGATCACAAGTTGCTTAAAAAAACAGACTCAGAGAACCACTGCTGTGGTTTCTATAAATCTGCAAAAACAAACGACTGATTTAAAGAAAAGTGGAACTAGACTTCCGTACTGTTCCACACTGCTCTGATGCATTATAGGTGTAAACAGCTGAGTTTGCATCTTTTTCAATATAAACCTAAAGTTAAACAAAGGTGTTTTGGGATGTCTTTAGAAAGAGGACAGAGTACGAGAACATGGACAACGATGGTCAAAGAGAAGATGATCATCACGCTACCAAAGAGGAAGGTGAGACCAAAGCTTCTTTGATTCTCTTCAAATACTTATTAATAAATACTTGAAGTAATAAATGTGTGCAGATCACCACAGAGTCATGAACCGCAGTCACTCGGGGTGTCGGAACATTTAGCCGAATACGAGTTGTGACAGGAAAAAAAACGAGTTTCCTTTGTACCTTTGTCACTTTGTACTTTTGCAGTTTTGGCCACTTCATACATACAGTTCCTATACTTTTTTGTGTTCCTTTTTTTTTGTATCCGTCTTGACAGCAGTTTAGAGTAATCTACAGCTATAATCTGCTCATGTCTTGCATTCGGTTTTAATTGGATTACTGGGGAAAGGGGTAGATAAAACTGCAGTGGTTAGCACGTGTGTATGACATGCTAACATGGGGTGTAGGTAAAATTTGACTCAAATTAAAGGTACAACATGAGGGTACAAAGTTCCAAAAGCACAACGGGACCTGGAGCTGTGAAAAACACACCTAAACTAGTCCAGAAGTGTGCAGGAGCACAGCAGCGTTACAAACTGATTGAATGTTTTAGTGGTGCAGCTAATTTCTGAAATGCAAAATAAATGATGTAAAGTGCTTTTAGTCTTTTTGAGTCTTAAATGGATTTTAATATGAGAATAAAACTTAAAAAAAATGTGACTTTAATTACAAGAGATTTGATTTTTATTGGCTAATTCAATGTCCTGAATGTAACTAGAGAATAACTGCCAGCACATTGTGGCACACGTGAATGTTTTCTGGAGTCACATCTGAAGCTGCTAGAAACATGTACAGTGGCAGGCGGTTGGTTTATTAGATCTTCTTTATGCGTCTTTATGCAGTGAGAGGCGTTCACATGTTACACAACGATGAAGAGGAGGAGAAGCACGAAGCAGATCACCGGGTGCCACCACATCAGGTGACTTTTATCTGCACCCTGTTTAAAAGCGTCGGTATCTGTCAGAGAATTTGCTCACTTATAGTTAATTCATTTCATAAAAACATTTTGTCTTGCGGTGCAGAAACCCACCGTTTTATCATAGTTTTCATTCAATTTGCCTTATTTACACACTTTTATCTTTATTCTGCCACTTTCCAAATCTCCTCATTTTCTCTCKTCTCCTGCAGGTTGTGGACGGCGAGGTGGATCCTGAGGACGACCCCAACAACCAGGGAGAGGACGAGTTTGAGGAGGCAGAGGACGAGCGTCCGGCACACAGGGTCGCCGAAGAGGAGGAAGAAGGGCCCGAAGAGGAAGAGGAGCCGGCAGCGCCTGCCCAGCACGTCGACAGTCACCTGAGACCCGCACAGCCCGATGTAGAGGAGGAGCTGGTGGTGAGTCAGGAGACCGAGAAGMGAACACACAAAACAGAAGGAAACGAGAGAGTGAGGAAGCAAGGACGGTTAATAATTAGTGACTTGTGTGTTCGTCTGTCAGATGGCTGGAAACCCAGATCAACAGGAAGACACACTGGATGACCAGTACCAGGAAGAGGATGAGGTAACACAAGCTCAGACTAGTCCGAAACATGGCAACATCTAGGGTGGGAGTCAGGCGTAAGATCTACAAGACAAAGATATCAAATTTATGTTTGGCTTTTAACAACAATACATTTAARTAACATTAATGAACTAAGCTAGAATAGAATTAGAATACTTTATATCCAGAGTGTGCAGAGATTTTGGTTTTAAAAAATAAACCTACACTTTTTTTTTGTGTTGCGATATTTTTGGATGACCGTAATTCAGTTAATGATCAACAAAAAAATTAAGGATTTTGCGCTGATCCTTTCATTTTTTTTTTTGTCTATTTTACCTGTACTGTAACAGTTATTGTGCGATTATTTATTTAAAAATTTTTTTGTAGCTTTTAATGTCCAAGTACTTCAAGTGAAAGGAAGTCAAGAAATAGGAGTTTTCAAACATAACCCTCATATTGTAAATGTTCTCTCTTCAAAATGAGATTACAATCCTGAAACTCCTAAAGCTCAACACTGAAAAGTGGAGTTTACTTTTAGATAACTTTTTATATTCATATATTGTATAAAGTTATATTCAAAAGGGTGGTGTTTCAAAAACTCTTATCACAGGCAGTTCTTTGCACAGCTTGACAAAAACTTGTCAGACAGATTTCTGCCTTTGAATGACTTTATTTCCTCCAGAGGCKTTATATTTTAAATATCTCAGCTTGTGAAGTCATTGGATACATTTTAAATTATCCTGCACTCTCTGCTAGCAGGAGTTTGATCCTGTCCGTATGCTAATGATGTTGCATGGGACTCTAGCAAATGTTCAATTTTAGATACTAAAGTCCCAGGGAGGTTGTCGTTTGGGGCGGGGAGATGCAGTTGTGATCTTATCATTGCATGCATATTGAGCTGACTTTATCCTCTTCAAGGCCCAGGAGGACATAGGTGGTGGTCAGAAAAGAGAAGAGCAGGATGGAGTAGAAGAAGATCCATACAATGAAGAGAATGCAGAACAGGTGAGCCTCCACCTGTTACATGAAACACTTAAACGATCTGCATCCTTTAACGAGCCTTTAACAGACAGGGCTTCTGCGTAGAAACAAATAAATAAAAGAACTTCYGCTAAGAAAGTTAAACACCAAGTTAAATTCCTTTGTTGTAATCAGATGTAGCACACATTTTTGTCACCTCATCTGTCTCAGATGCGGCATCTAGTGGTGGCTGGGGAAATTACACCCTTTCCTTCCAGTTAGGCCACATGAAGCTGATAACCATCAAYGAGATCATTTTCACTCCAGCCCTGAAGCATTAGCTTTTATTTCAAAGCTCTATTTACAGCACATTTTATTYCCATAAAAACAGACCAACAAGAAAGCATTGTGTAAGATGTAGCATTCTGACACACGTTAAGTTTACTGACACACTGACRGTGCAGGGATTCACCGGCGTTCGATTGTGTCTCTGCTGCATCTTTGTAATCTGAACCGAGCCCCAACGAGTCGCGGTAAACGAGGTCAGTCCGGTGCTGAGTTCATCAGGGTGTCGGGTTCCTGCCTGGGCTTGGCTTATTTAGTTTGTCTTTCATGGAAATCTCTTTATATGCCAAAAGAAACAGTAGAATTATGAAATGTTTACATTAAAAGTCGTAGTTCATAGGGGGAAATATTTGTAGTTTTGAATTTTACTGCACCCTGATATTTTTGCCAGATTATGTGTGAGTTATGTTTCCTGCTGATGAGATGCGGACTGCAGACGGGCCGGTTCAGCACCTGGACTCTTCTGTGGGGGGATTGCAAGTTGTGGTTCATTATTGTTTTGCAAAAAGAAATAAGGCCTTCCCTGTTTGCATTGATTGWTTTTCTAGATGTGTAAGCTGCCCAAGTCGAAGGCTAATGTACCCCCATACCATCAGAGAGGTCAGCTTAGACTGTGTATTGAGAACAGGCTGCTTGATGCCTGCTTCTTCAAAAAGAACGATACATTTCAGTTAGTTTGACCGCAGAACACTTTTCAACTCTGCCTCGATACATTTTAAACAAAGATCAGAAGTATCTGTTATAGACTTTCAGCTTTGTCCTTTGAGCTCAGACGTTTCTCCAGATTCTTCACATTTTCTGATGTTTTTGTTTGTTTGATTGTGAGCTGTAGGTAATGAAAGTTTCAAATTCTCTCCCCCTATTTTTGTTCTTTACTCAGATAAATGTATTTCTATTTTTCATTTCACAGTGCTCAGCTGTCCTTGTTGACCACACATCAGCTCTTCTACTAGCTTTTTGGAGCTAAGTTTAGGTTAGGTACAGTCTGTTCAGGTGGTTTTGTCCTGTACGACCTGCCTCACAGTGCATGAACGCACAAGTTTCTGCTCTCCCTCTCGCGTCTGTGTTTTATTTCCAGTTCCATAACCAAAACAATCACCTATGTTTACATGAATGCTTGTAAAGGCCGATGAGTCATGTTATCTGTCCTCAGAACGATGGGAAAACCCAGGAGGGACCACGAAAGGAGGGAATCCACCGAAATGGAGCAAAGGAAAACGAGGAGGAGAACTACGAGGAGGAGGAGGAGGAAGAGGACACAGCTGGTGGAGATAAAAGGACCAATCGGAGGGCAGAAATGTAGGACGAGCATTAAGTTTGGCTGCCAGTTCGGCTAATCAGGTCTGTCCTTTCAAAAGGAAGAAAACCAGCAGAACACTACAAGAAAACCTGCCAACTTTGCCTGAAAGATGGGAATTAAAACACCACTCTGGAAACAATCTTTAGGCCTTAAATGGCTCCAAACTATTTACTTTTTTTTTGTTTTTATCTACATTCCTGTCTACTGTCACATTTGCCTAAATATTCATCTGGTTCAGAGATTGTGTTTTTGTTCTACATGCCATCTTGAAGTGTGTATAAAAGGAGCAGATAAGTTTTTTTATTCTAATTCTGTCCTCGTGTTCAGGCCTTGTTTGGCTTTATGCAAAAAGGTTGTATTTTATATTAAATTCAAATCAGTCATGACATTTTTTTTGAAAAATTGTTATTTATTACTGATTGATACAACTCTGACAATCATAAAAGGTGACGCACCATTTTTTTTTTCCGTTCCTGATGGATGCAGTTTGACACGGTGACTTYAACCAGCTTTTTGAGGCGGACTCGTTGGCGCGTTCTCACAGGATATTTCTGCAAAATGCCAATCAAAGAGACATTTCTGCTGAAGCCTGTAAGTGCTGAGCGTCACGCTGACATGTGCCTTTTTATTCATGGAGACTTCCTGTCTGTCCCAGGCGTTCGCTATTCAGAGAGAGAATTTGGATACAGCAGAGGAGAGACGAGCCGAGGCCTGTTTCCATTCAGCTGCTGGTGGGAATGACATCCACAAATCAAATACAGTTTACTGCAGCAACCTTTTAACCTACTGTATAATGTAAAGTAAAAATATTTGTAAATTTGTACACCTGTTATATTTGATACAAAATGAGGGATTCTTACTGTGTTTTAAAAATGTTCAGTGTTTGGAATAAAAAGAGTAAAGCTTTTAAATATTGTTTTAAGTCTGTTTTATTTGGAGGGGAAAAAAAGTTATAGTTTACCAGGAACTGATTGAACTGTGGTGCATGAAATATTTTGCTAACAGAGACCTAGGCAAAAACATAGTGTCCACTTATTTAGCCATTAAATGCATTTACAGTACTTAAGTCATTTTTTTAAAGATTTGTAATTTTACCAAGTGGTTTTTTTAATCCTAACTTTTATTTTGTTACATTCAAAACAAAACTTATACTTCATTAAAATTTAACACACAGTTACATGCTAACAATTTAAATATGACCGAACTCCTTATAGAATAAGTTGTTTCTGTACTCTAAAAAAATAAGTATTGATTTTACTTTACCAAGTTATGTCTACTGGTTCCACTAAAGTCAGTTAGGTAAATGTAAAGCAGTTTAGTGGAATTTGTTAAAGTAAATTCAGCATTTACTTTCTTAGAGTGAGTAAAAGTACTTTTATTTTTCTGATTATTGTAAGCAGTTTTGTGACTTATACTTAAGTATGTTTCTTACCAGTGAAGTAAATTTTTACAAGTCATTTTCTRTTCAGGTATTTTTACTTTTACTTAGTTACTTGTGTTAAATACTTTAAATTTGACTTTAGTATCTGCAGGTGCTGCGTAGATATCTTTATATCCTGTTTAGGTCATATTTTTCAGCATGTTCAGTTTTCTCCATTTTGTGTGTGTGTGTGTGTGTGTGTGTGTGTGTGTGTGTGTGTGTGTGTGTGTGTGTGTG